ATATGTATATGTATATGTATATGTATATGTATATGTATATGTATATGTATATGTATATGTATATGTATATGTATATGTATATGTATATAATTTAAGAAGATGAAAACCATCTGGGTGACCTTGGGACACTCCCTTTCCTTTAGTCCAATCCATCTCAGAGGGTTGTTGTCTGGAAAATGGGAGGAAGAAGGAATATTAGATACGTGCCTTGCGTTGTTTATAAAAATACTAAAGATGGGATATGAAAAAAACAGAAACCAAATAATTCCCCCATGCTTAACTAATATGGCAGGCGTCTCAAGCTCCATGACCCGGCCTTGAGCCTTTTGGAACTGGGCCGCAGAGCGGGAGTATCCCCATTCGCATGAACAGTGTATGAGCGTGTGCGTGTGTCCATTCGCACACACATTTGTGCTTGCTCACCACTCCCCCCTGCCAATCCGCAAACCCAAAATAGGTTTGGGGAACTATGCTGTAGCTGTTTAAAGATCATTTCTCTTTTCTGTAAACTAGCTATCATAGCAGTACTGCAATATCTAAGGGGCTGCTACAAAGAAGAGGGAATCACTCTTCAAAGGCAAGGCAAGAAGCCATGGATGGAAACTAACCAAGGAGAGAAGCAACCTAGAACTTAAGGAGAAACCCCCTGACAGTGAGAGCAATTAACCAGTGGAACGGCTCCAGAAGTTGTGGGTGCTCCATCACTGGAGGTATTCAAGACGAGATTGGATAGCCAGCAGTTTGAAATGATATGGGTTCTCCTACCTGAGCAGAGGGTTGGACTAGAAGACCACCAAGGTCCCTTCCAACTCGGTTATTCTGTTATTCTTTCCTCCTTCGAATTTCCCACAAGCTTCCTGTAGCAGAAATAATTTCTGGGTTCCAATACCATTGCCTTCTTTCCTGAGTCTTCACATCACTCAGGCTCAGGTCAATGCTGGGGCTCAGAACCCCAGACAGTACCCCAAAGTTCGGAGGAGCTGGTAGAGTGGTTTAGAAGAGATTCAGGTTAACGTCAGGGTTCCAAGTGACACCCCCAACGGAAGAAGACTCTGAGGCTTGATTTTCCTCAAAGTTCCATTGTATTAGAGATGTCACATTGACCCATTTGGGAAAACCTGAATCTGAAAGCTTCCAGGTTTTCCCCATCCAAGTGAAAGTTCAAGTCACATGTTCAGCACCCACATGTCCATCACATGGTCCAATCAGGCACAGTCCAAAACTGGAGATGCCTCCCAGTCACCTCATCGCAGCTGCAGGGTGAGTTGACCTTGACTTTCTGAGAAAGAATGTTGTTATGGCTACATAGTATCTAGACTCTGTATAATCCCCCCCTCCCGTTTTCCCACAGTAGAAAACATGGCAGGTCTGAAGTCCAAAACGTAAAGGTGGTTTCCAGGTCTGAAATCCATGGACACATCCAACCTCATCTTTCTGTCATTTTTATTTTGTCTCATATATACCCCATTTTCCCGAAAATAAGACCTCCCCAGATAATAAGCCCAATCGGACTTTTAAGCACAAGCGCTAAAATAAGCCCTTCCCCGAAAATATTGCCGCATAGCAGCAGCTGTGAGGTGACCACACTCGCTGCCTCCTGTACCTCAAAAGTAATAAGACCTCCCCGAAAATAAGGCCAAAAGAAAATCGGGGATCAAAAGAAAATAAGACCCTGTTTTACTTATTTTGGGAGAAACGGTAATGTTTTTTTAAAAAATACAGTTTTGCAAAAATTGGTATACAGCATAATCTAATAAAAGGAATGCCTACGGCTGGCCAAGCCATGCCTTTCTGTAGTTAATTTGAAGCCACCAGAGATGCTACATTCGTCCAAGTGTCAGCAGGCATAGACAGAACCCCATAATTGGTTGACTTTGGGCTCCTGTCAGCAGCGTCCTGCTCCCTCCAGCTTGACCAGGACACTCACTCCTTGCAAAAGGTTCCTCCAGGCCAACATCACCAAGCCAGCTTGTTAATTAGGGGCCGAGCTGGAATGTACAATTTGGTTTGGTTTGCATCCTTTAGATGTGGGTCAGGTTGTGGTAGGATTTTTCCCTGAGCTGCTGGATGTTTTCAAGAGCATTCATGGTCGCCTGCTTTCTCAGCCTTTGCAATTGCTGTTTCCCACTCTGCTGGCTTGTAAGTTAGTCATTTAGACCCAACCAAAGAGATTAAAAGTCTCCCGGGGAGCAGGCTATATGAGGGCATCTTTCTTTGACTTCCCTGAAAACATAGAATCGTAAGGTTGGAAGGGTCCTTTGAGGTCTTCTGGTTCAAACTCCTGGCCAAGGCAGGTGGCCTTAGGCTATCCCAGACAAATGGGTGTCCAATCTCTTGTCCAAAACGTCCACTGTGTTCTGACCTAGGCTTCCCAAGATCATGAAGCCGACTCCTTGTCCCGATAAAACCCCTTTTATTTAGGCTAAAGGGAATTTTTCTCCAGCAAAGTCTCGGCCAACAATCTTTCAAGAGATTTCACAACTACAGAGCTTTATCAGGCTTGGAGAGCAGCCAGGCCGATATCTTCCAAACGCCACTCTTCACTCTAATGAATTGAACTAATTGTCTCCTGCAAACTTCCCTCCTCTTTCCTCTTTATTCCTTATGGGAGGGGCCATTCATCATCCACCTGTGGCTTTACTCCAGAGCTGACCCTTGGTTCTTAGCTGTTCCCTTTTCCTGGGAGCCCTGCGCATGCGCACATCAGGAACAGGCTCCAGCTGTTCTTCTACCCCACTGATCTCTGACTCCGAAGGCAGCTGATAACTGTCGGATGGCCCTGGCCCCCTCTCTGCCTCCAACGCAGAGCCCTCATCAGAGCCTTCCCCAGACTCCAGGAGTGACCCATGTTCCTCCCCAACGTCCTCACTGTCGGAGTCTGCCACCAGCTCCACTGGCGGGCCACAACACACTGATGGAACACACACTACTTCAGGAGGCAAGCCGTTCCACTGATTAATTGTTCTTATTGTCAGGTAATTCCTCTTTAGTTCTAGGTTGGTTCTCTCTTTGATAAGTTTCCATCTGTTGCTCCTTGTTTTGACCTCAGGTGCTTTGGAGGTCAAATATTGAAGCCCCTTAAATATTGGAAGACTGCCATCACGTCACCCTTAAACCTTCTCTTCATTAGACTAGACTAGACATACCCAGTTCCTGCAACTCTTCATGGTATTGTTTAGCCTCCAGCCCTGGTGGGGAGTGGTGGTCCATGAGGAAATTTTGGGGGTCTGCAGAAAAATTATTTGCATTTTTTATAGTGCACTAAATATTATTTATTTATTTGTTTAAAAATCATGTTAGTGGTTGTCCGCGGGATTTAAAATTATGAATTTAGTGGTCCCTGAGGTCCGAAAGGTTGGTGACCCCTTAGGACAGGGGTCACCAGCCTTCCATTATGTTTCAAGAGAGTGAAAGAAGATTGACATTAATCATTGCTTTTCTCCATTCTGGTCCCCAAAGAAGGGAGAATCCCAAATCAACGAGTTCTGGAGTTTTTCAATATGGGGTTAGTAGCTGGGATCCTGCCCCCCAACTCACTTTTATCTGCCATATATTGATAGCGAATGGGTGGATGGCAAAAGATACAGAAAAGGAACTCTTGTGTGCCATCTAGTGGTGGTTCAAATTTCTGCATCTTTGAGGTAGAGAGCCGTGGTGGCGCAGTAGTTAGAATGCAGTACTGCAGAGCTAACTCACTGCTCACTCCAGGAGTTCGATCCTGATGGGGCTCAGGGTTGACTCAGCCTTCCATCCTTCCAAGGTCAGTCAGTTGAGGACCCAGATTATTGGGGGGCAAGAGGCTGACTCTGTAAACCGCTTAGAGAGGGCTGTAAAGCATTATGTAAGCTGTATATAAGTCTAAGTG